TTGAGCCAACGAATGGCACAAAATGTTTAAGTAAATGTACTTTGTGGGTGCCTCTGCCCTAGACTTTCCCTGGGTGAAGCTCTTCTAACCTCCTTTTGACCACTTTCGGGAATCACTACAAAAAAAGAAAAAAAAAAACCACAACGCCTCTCCCGGTTCTCCACACAGCGTGACCTCCCCTGGCCCGACCCAGGGGTCCCCGGGGCCACCGTCTGTCCCCGCTCTCCCCACGGCACTGGCCGTCGGGGCGGCGGCGTCACGGGAAGGCTCGTGTGGCCGCGGGGTGGGAACAGGGGTGCGACCGCCGGAGGCGCCCTGCGGGCTCCCCCACACTCCCGCACGGCGCCTGCGAAGGGCCCCCGCGCCGCCTGAGCAGTGTCTCCTGTGACTCGGGCCGCCCCGCACGCGTCCGCAGAACGTGAGCGCGCCAGAAACTCGACCCCGAGAGAGAAGCTCGTCCACTTTGGAAGAGGATACAAACAAAACCTAAATAAAGGACAATGCAAAAAACCACACCGGATGTTCCTAATACGGAACACGCACCTGCTCTCGAAAGGAACACGGAGCGAGAGGTGGCGACACAGAGAAGACCCGACTGGGAGCCGGGGACCCGGGGACTCGGGAGCCCACAGCTGCCCCCGGGGAGGGGCCTGGCGCAGCCCTTCCTGGGGCAGGAGTTGGGCCCGCGCCAGGGCATTGGGCAGGCTGACCGGTGCGCGCACCCTGCCCCGCGCATGGACGTGGGGGGCGGGGCCGTAGCCAAGGAACTGGCTTGATGTTTTCAGGGTAACTCGGAGTGGAAGACAAGTCTTAATCCTTCCCAGAAGGAGCAACCCGAACCCAAATGGGGCTCAAGATTTTAAAATAACACTCCACACGTTTTTCCTAAGTTGCTTTGCAATATTACACCACCTGAGGGCGCCACAGATTCAAAGGTGTTTCCACCATGCTTTCTGCTGAAACAGCAAGTTCCTCGAACGTGTTCCATGCCCGTTTCCTGAGCGTGGCCCTGTTTCGTGGATAAGGGGCCGCGGTGAGGGGGCGCAGGGAAGCGCAGGCGGCCTCTGCGTGGTGAGCGGGCCTGGTGGCGGGGCGGGCCCTGCCAAGACAGCCGGTCCTGCCTGGACGCGGTTCTGCGAGGCGGCCCAGCCTCCTGAGGGCCTGCGCGCTTTCACAGTGAAAGGATAGGATGGATGCTCCGGGCGCTGGCGTGTCCCCGGGCACGGCGAGTGCAGTTTTCCCCGAGACACGGGGCGACCCTCCTGCTCCGCTGGCCACACGACCTGTCTGTGTGTCCTGCTCTGTAAACAGCTCCTAAGGCAGGAGGTGGGGAGTAAACCTGCGCTTCCAAGACCAGCCTGTCTGTCCTCTGCGCCCGGCCGTGGCCCCCGCGGCCACGAGCTCCCCGTCCCCTGTGGTTCCCAGGCTCCCGGCTGAGCCACCACAACACCGCCGATACAACCGCGGAGACCACGGCACCGGTGAGACGACCGGAAGAACCACCACGGACACTTGAAACAGGGTCGCAATGGGCCCTGCGAAAGCCAGACCTGCTCGTTGCAGCTTCCCTGCACTGGAAGGAACCCGCCTTCCAGGCCGCGGCACAGCGGGCGCTCCGGGGAGCCCCAAGGCCGTTCGGTGAAGAAACCACAGAAGTGACGTTTCCCGGTGACTTACAGACTCAGCGGCAGACGTGAAGCCCAAGGTCACGGCTCGCCCTCAGGACTGCGCTCGTCTCCCCGACGGAGGAACCTCAGGCGCGGCTGCTGGTTTGTGCGTTTGTGCCCGGCCTCGGTGCCCACTGACCTTGGTACTCGGAAACCTGACTGGGCTCATCAGCGGCCCGGTCACATGCAGAGGCCTCGCGGAAGTGGCCTGAGGTTTCCGTGCGACAGCAGGAGCCCCCCGCGAAGGGCGCGAGCAAACCAAGACGCCACAGCACCCGGCACGGCGGCAGCGGCGGCGTCACCGTGGCGGCCCAGCACCCGTCTCAGGGCGAGCAGCTGAGCGGAGGAGCCATCCCCCTCACCCCGGCTCTCAGCCCCCCGCCTCTGATCGCCGCCGGCCTCGCGGCTGCAGACAGGCCTAGCGACAGGTCTGAAAATGCGGAGCCCACCACTGAGGTCCGCTCGCCGAGTACGAATGGCCGTGCAAGTTCAATGACTGCACCTCAGGAAACGGGCAGGCCTCCCACGATCAAGATCAAAGCCAAGCAGAGATGAGCACAGCCCCGCTCGGCTCACGCCAAGGTCCCAGCCGGACGCCTCGGGCCGCAGAGGGCGTTCCGAGCGGCACCTGACACGCGCGGCCCGCGTGACGTGCAGCCAGAGCAACACGGTGCCAGCAGCGAGGCGTGAGCTGAAACGGGCGGCCGTGCGCCCAGGACGTCCGTCGGGGCCTCCCTCCGCGTCCTTCCATGCTCACGGGACGACACGCAGGAAGCAGACCGGGAGCGGCCGCGCACCTGGGTCAGGGCCTCAGGGACGTGGCCCAGGCTCCCCACCCAGCTGTGACCCCCCGCCCCGCGCCCACACTGCACGGCATCCCTTTAAAACGGCCGTGCCCTGACACTCTCCAGACCCCCGTGCAAACTAGAAAGGGACCCCCACGAGGCTACACACCACACCAAGCGCTGGGACACAGCCACCGTGGACAGGCCACAGGAGTGTCCCTCCAGCACACACACAACCACCGACACACGCGAGATGACCGTCAGTCACTGAACCCGCTTAGGTCTCTACAAAACACACCCCACGTAAGGGTGAATGGAATCAGTTTACAGGTCAATTAAATGCCGGTGAGTGGCCAGCAGCACGTCCCTAGGTAAAGAGAAACACGCCACAGAACAGTCAAAGTCGGCAGTCCCTGAATCGGTCGCTACGCCCGCACCACCAACGCACGCTCCGGGCCTGTGGCCCCTCACGCCCCAGTCGCAGGCTAAAGCCGCCCTGCCCGCAGCAAGGAAGCTGCCACGCGTGCCCACCCCTGCGGCCCTCGCAGGCTCTCAGGGACTGCGGTGGCCGCAACGCCCGCCGCTGCGCCCCACGGCCAGGCAGCCGCGGCGAGGTAGCCTGCAGAGCGCACCTGTCCCGGAGGAAGGCACCGTGCCCAGCTCTCAGCGAGCGGTGCCCCGTCGCTGAGGAGCCCCGGCAACACACCCCCACCTACAGGAGCCAAGGTGAACCCCGCACCTTAAAGGTAAGTGGTCACAGGCGTGGGCCGTTTCCACTGCAGGTACCTCAAGTCCAACAAAAACACATTTTAACAAAACATCTGTACAAAGTCTGTGAGCAGGACTATAGAACCTGAGGTTAAGCTTAATTACCTGGGGGTGGGGGTGCAGGTCGGGGGGCGGGTCCAAAAACAAGCAGTTTAGGACGTGTTCCTAAGTCAGAACTGTTCAGGGAACCATACGCCATGTCTACGAACAGTAAACAAGTGCTGTCCAAAGGCACTGAAGTGCCTGTTCTGGTGCCAGGCCCTTCAACACCCAACTTAATTATTAATACAAACCTGATGGTATTAAATCAATCTGATTATTTAATAGAAATATATTTATGAAAAAAATCATTCTGCTCCTTAACTTAGCATAAAACAAACACGATGCAATCTCTGAAGTGCCGCTGTGAGCCGTGCGCCGCAGAGCTCGCTCGCACGCCAGGGCAGCGCGAGGGGGCGGATGGGTCTCGGGGGCGACGGGCCCGTTCCCAGGTCCACGTTTATCCGCTTACCTGCTTTGAACGCACAGCTTATGTCGCCTTACGCCCAACGAAGTGCTCTGTGGAAGACGGACAGCTGCACAGAAGAGCACAGCCAGAGCCACCTTTTCCCTCCACAGCCCGGCCGCGTCCGTGTGCAGCATTTCCACACTGGACCCACAGCGTGACTGGTTCCTTTCAGACAGCACGGTCCGAATTAAAACCATGCTGGGCCTGAACGGTTCCATGCCCTCCCCCACCCGGACCAGCGCCCTCATTTCACACGGAGAGGGAAACCAAACCCCGCCCTTTCCACGCTTCCCGACGGCCGTGCACACGGCGCAGCACAGGGCATGGATGCGCGATGCACTTACTTAACCGCTGAGGAATGGGAATTAGGGCAAAAAAAAATCAAATCCTCTGAATACAACACAGAAGATGCTAGAAATAAGAGATTACAAGATCTTTTCTGAAAGCTCCTTAGAAAATGCAACAGGTAGGCTTTAGACGTGTGAGCAAACCCAGGTGGCACCTGCCAGACCCCTTCACCTGCCGCCGAACAGCACCGACTGGAGAGGCTCGCCGCGCCGTACACGGGCACGCCTCTGCCGGCGGTCGCCCCACACGGCTTCAGGGGGCGCCCCCTGGTGGCCTATTAGATGAGGCCCTCACGACGCAGCCCACGCCCCGTGGCCCAGGCAGCGGCCCTTGCATGTCCGGGGTCGCAGCCTGGGTTAGCCTCCCCGTCACCAGTGCTCGGGGAGGACAAACCATTCCAACTTCTGGTGACAACGGGGGGGCCTGCAAAGGGTGTCCAGTTCAGAGCCTCGCAAAAATGCAGTTGTTCTGATAAACTGAGCACTGGCTCGATCTGACATAAAACCTAAAATGTTTCGGCGCTAAGATTATGCTCTTAACAGTTAGAATATATTTAAACATGGGGGCGGGAAGGGAGCGCTGAAGCGAATGTGGGTAAACAAAACCAGAAAGATCAAAATACAAATGTACGGAGACAAACCACTCTTCCCGCCAGCTGTGAAACAGAAATGATTCTAAAATTAACGTGCAAATGCGAACAGCTGTTTGACATTCATTCATTCAGTGAACGTGTTAAGCTGCTGATAGTAAAAAAGCTTTTTCTCAACTCAGAAAGTGATCACCATCTTTAATAAAGGGTGACTGTGTTTTGTTAAGTGAACGAGACACACTGTGTTTAGAAACCAGCACCTCGAACGCTACAGAGGACAACGACATTCTGAAAATCCAGTTTATTTTCCATGTTGTGGACAGATCCAGTCAGTGTGATCGGTTTCTCTGCACGGGTAATAAGTTATCAAAATAAGTTTTCCCACAACAACTCTTTTCCATCAACTCTGAAAATCCTGGTCTGACAACATATGCAAATAAAGCTCTTGAAAACCACCTTGTACGATTTGGAGGAAGTGTGGCCAGTCTCTCCTGCGATCTCCCCGCGCTGCGAGCGGCTGACGAGCGGCGGCCGCTCCGGCCGGGGCCGCGCGCAGCGTCCTCCTGGGGGCGGGGCACACGGAGCGGGCCTGAGGGTTGTCCACTGCATGGGAGGGCACGACTCTGCAAGCAAAGCAGTGGGAGCTGCCTTTTTTTCTTAAGACCTGGACATTTTAAGACAGAAGCTTTGCAAAACATTACACAATTTTTTATTATTGAATGAGAAAGTCTCATCTGTTACATCGTCACATTGCTAGTCAGAGAACTGCTGCGGTGATGAAGGGGTCAGCGTGGGGTCACCCAGAGCCCTCATTTCTACAACACCCATCACAAAGAAATCACGTGCAGCACGGCCCAGCGCGACAGTCCCGGTTTTCTTCGTCCTGAAGTCCCCCCAGCGTCCTCTAGCGGGGGCTCGCTGCGGCGGTCCAGCGCCCCGCCCCGACCGCCCCGCCGTGGGGGGCTGCGCGCTGGCCTGGGGGCCGCGGCTCACACGTCGTCGTCGTCCGACGTGTCGCTGCTGCTTGTCTCCGAGTCCTCGTTCTCGATCGTGGGCCTGAAAGTGCAGTTTTTCCAGGGTCCAAACTTGAAGTCACAGATCAGGCCGTTTTTCAAAATACCATTTTTCCTCAGACCATTTTTCTGTAACTAAAACGTCAAAAGCACAAAATTAAATAAGCTATCCTCCAAGAGTTACTATCAAATTAAGAAAACTGTAATTAAATGCAACCATGAATACAACAAAGTTAGTAAAACTGCATCCAACCGTCGCTTCTGAAACCCTCGTCTGACACCGGGTTGTGTCAAACTTCTCCCCGCCGACGGGACTGAGTGTCTCCGGGGAGAAGCCGCCGCCCTCGGGAGAGCCGCGCGCCCACCCACCTGCCCTCCCGCCACCGCGGGGAGAACGGTCACCGCCGCCCGCAGGCGCTGCCCACGTGGGCCCAGCAGGCCCTCGGCTCCAGCCGTCCCTGTCGTGGGCCTGCCCTCCCCGGCTCCCCCAGCTGCGTGGCTCATACTTGGCAGAACATTAGGACACTTTCTGGCACACGGTGCTGGTGCACGTAAACAACATCAGGCAGAGCCCTCTGCTCAGCCACAGAGATTAAGATACAGGGGGAGGGGGAGCAGGGAGTTCTCTATTTCTGAAAATGAAAAATTAAAACCAAGGTTAATATAGCAATAAGAACTGGGTCCAAAGACCCCCTATGGGGGGCACGGCTTGACCCAAAGTAGAAACCATTAAAAAATACAAAGTTACGTTAATAATAATGATAATGCGTGTTCTACCAACTCCACCCTTTTAAATTCTTTTCATAAAAATGTTATCCATTCTGATAATCTTCTTCGGTATCTCCAAATACAATCTCTCAGAAGACCAAACCCAGCCATGGAGTCAGTCAGTGTTTCAAACTGTTCAAAGATGCCCCACCCTTTGAACTCTTTGAAGAGCGTCTTCAACCGTGAGGAGCAGGTGACCCCGCGGCGCACGCGGGCTTGTCACAGCCCTCGGAAGCACAAACGCGAGGTCCCGAGGGTCGCCCCCCTCCCCCTCCCCCGCCCTACTTAGGTCCCTGCCATCCACAGCGGGCTGCCCTCTCTACCTGAACTCTGGAGTTCAGGCTGCCTGCTTTCCCTCTGAACAAAGGACCGCACCACCTGCCCTGAGAAAAACGCGAGCCACGCGCCCACCTCCGGAGCGCTCGCCCAGTGCGCGGCCTGGAAAGCACCTCCGTCCCTCTTCCAACGGTGCGGCTTCCCGCCCCCACGGTCCAGTCTTGCTTCACACGCCACCTCGTCTTCCCAAAGCCTGAAGGCGGCTGTGCAGAATTCCGATAGAAACCAAACCTAAACCCTTCCCTCTGGCGTCTCTATGTGCCGGTGTGTCGGCCCCCAGAACCGCCACCTCGCACCAGCGCCGCCTCCCGCTTTCCTGTTTGTACCAGCGACCGCCAGGTCACAGGCTGGGCCCTCGAAGCCCCGCCGAGTCTACTCAGACCCTGGTCCTGCCAGGACCACCTTTTACGGTCCCCTCCCCCGCCCCCAGGGCAGCTTCCCGGCTACCGCCTTCCAGACGACCCTTCCCCCGCCCCGGGCCCGGGGCCCCTCGCCAGACGCCCGGGGACCACCTCCCGTCCTGAGGAGCCCTCCGGGGCCCCTGTAGCTGGACGGCTGGCCCGGGAAGGAGCGTGTCTCTCCGGGCTTTGCGGTCTGGGGGGCACAGGGAAGACGCGGGGAGCACGTGCCGCACTGAACCCGCATGTCTCCTGTCACCAGACACGACATACAGGGGTGGACAAAAGCACCTCGCATACGGGAGTGTGCGAAACAGTTACTCTTGTTCTTCTACTATTTATTATTAACTTTGCTTTTGCCCACACCTGCGAATCCTTTTATAAACAGCATCAGGCCCTAAGTATTTTTCAAGAAACCTGAATGTCAAATCATGTCATCGTTAATATAAACTCATCCCTGTCTGTCCCTGGATCAGAGAAACAGACAGACATACAATGTCACTGCTTCCCAGGCACAACGCGTGCCTGCCAGCGGACGGTTTCATCACCAACTGGGTTTTGCCCGCCCCCCCCCCCCCCGTGACGCCAGGGTTTCCAAGCCCGTCGCCCTGCTGGGACGGCACGAAGCTGTGTCCTTGAAACCACCGCCTCCTGGGGCCGGCCCCTGGGGACTGCGCACGATGCCCCTTCTTCACGTTCCAAGCCAACCCTCCCGACCGACGTGCACACTGGTGCACACATTCAGCGGGCCGCTGCTCAGCACACACGGGCGCGTTTCGGAAGCGTGAGCACGGCCAGAGCTGACGCCACAGAGCGCAGGGTCAGTTACGGCAAAGCCCAGAGAGTTGACACCGCAGGAACAGAGAAGGCATCGGCGGGCGCCCGGGGCCGCAGCTGGGGGTGGAAGCGCTGAACACAGGGGACACGCAGCAGCTTTCTGGGATGACGGCCACACCACCGCGGCCGCCCGCGCACCCGCAGTGAGGAGCAGCCGCTGCCGTGCACACCCCGGGCTCTGCGGCTCAGCCCGCGGCTCTGGGGCATGGCCCCATGCGGGCGACCCCGTGCTGAGCGCTGCCGGTGCCTGTCCCGCAACGGTGAAGGCCCCGTGAGAACAGGCCGGGGACGCGCGCGGGCGCCCACATGGGGCGGCGACCCCACACGGAGCCCGCAGGACCGCAGGCGGCTCTGGGCGCGTCGGGAGCCAGCGGTGAGCAACCAGAGGCCCAGGGCGCGGCTGCTCCCGACGGCGGGCCCCACGAGCCCCCCGCTTCCTGCCCACGGGGCCAGAAACGGAATGCGGACACCGTCCATGCGGCTCCATGAACAGGGGCCCAGGCTGGCCTGACGGGGAAGAGAAACTGGCCAGGGAGGCGCAGGGCCGCCTCCCAGGGACCGTCGGGGGCAGAGCAGGCGGCCGGGGGTCCCAGGGGTCAGGGAGAGGTGCCGGCACCCGGGGGTGGCCACACGACGGGGCCCGGCTGCTGCCCGCGGGAGTGGTGGTCCGATTAAGGAGCCCCGTGGGGAGACAAGCAGGGCGCGGCGTGGGGAGGCGCGGGCCGAGGACGCGGGGCTCCGACCTCGGAAACTGGCTGCTGGCTCCTCCGACCACCCCCACCCTCGCCCCCCACCCCCGGCTCAGAACCGGTGGGGACACCGCGGCCTGTGCCTCACGTCATCCCAACCCAGACACGTTCCCAGGTGCAGACACAGGCCGGCTCCACGGCCTCACGGAAACCCGTCGCTCACGTGGCGGCGGCACTCGCTCCCCGTCACGGCCGGAGGCCTCCGTCGGAGGAGGCGCAGCGACAGCTCGGAGGCCCTCAGCCGGGGCTGGGCGGCCGCCGCGCCCCCTGACCCGGCAGCGCTGAGGGGACAGGGACCTGCCGACAGGCCCCACGGGCACTGCCCCCGTCAGAGAAAAACCCTCCTGGGCCACGTCCCTCCGTTTCCTCAGGAGATTCGGCTCCATTGGAGTCTGACGGGACCCCCGGGCATGGGGCCCCCCGCAGGCCAGTTGCTGTGAGGCTCGTGACTGTACATTTACATTTATCAACACCCATCCACCTGCATGTTGAAAAAATGAATTTCTGTACGGAAATTATGCAGATGTGACCAAAAAAATCTTCAAAACCATCATCCAGTGCCAGCCTCACAACCGTGTTGTGAAAAATAACATAGTTCACTAAGATCTTCTAATTGAAAAATTAAAATCAATTAGGGAGAAATATGAAACTGAAATAGAAAATGATCTGTTTATGAACATGACCTTATGTGCAACAAACCCTAAAGAATCCACAAAACAACTGAACACTAACACAGCAAAGATACAAGATACAAAAATTAATGCAGAAAAATAAGTTGCATTTTTATAACAAAAAACAGTCCAAAAAGAAATTAAGAAAACAATTCTATTTACAATAGCATTTAAAAAAATAAAATCAGTACTAAGTATAAGGAGGCAAAAGTCTTCTTCCACATTGAATATTACAAAATACTGCTGGAAAATATTGTAAAGAAAACCAACACCAATAAATGGAAAGACATCCCATAACTGTGCATTAGTAGACCTAATGTTGTTAAGACGTGAACGCTACCCAAAGCAACCACGGTTCAATGCGGTCCCTAGCCGGTTCCCAAAGGTCTTTCTGGGAGAAGACAAAACCCCACCACCCTAAGACTCCCAAGCAGTCGACGTTCCCAGCGGCCAAAACAATCTGAGAAACACACCTGGCGTTTCACAGGTCCCGACTGGAAAACGCTCCGCAGAACTGCAGCACTCGGAGCAACGTGACGCTGACGCAAAACAGACGTCCCTCGGGGCCAAAGGGGCAGCGGGCTGGGAACAAGGCCTGGCCAGGGCGCCACGGCCACGTCCTGCCGGGAAGGACCGGCCCAGCCGACGGTGACCGCCAATGCCCAGGAACGGGGCTGGACCCTCATCTGACTCCGAGTGGATCCGAGACCGAAACTCAACTGAAACTGTAAACCACGCAGAAGAAATCACAGGGTCTGGAAAGCCTCGCCGCGGGTCTGGCGATGGCTTCTGGAGTCGGACGTCGAGGAGACAGGCAACCAAAGAAAACTCGGGAAACTGGGCCACATCCAAATGCAAAACGCCTTTGCAGCAAAGGCCACGACAGTGAAAAGCCAGCCGACAGAGTGGAAGATATTTACAAATCATGTATCTGATAACAGATTAATACGCAGAATAAACGAAGAAGTGACACAACTCAACAACAAAAGAAACCCAAACAACTCAATTTAAAAAAGGGCAAAGGGTTTGAATAGATATTTCTCCTTTGAGATGACGTACAGATGGCCAATAAGCACAGGAAAAGGTGCTCAGCGTCCCTACCCTGCAGGGAAGCGCACGAAGACAAAGCGATAGGAAGACAAGGCGCTACCGCGAGGTGTCAGCCACAGTGGCTGCCGAGGGAAAGCAGGGGTCCCTGGCACTGCTGTGGGGGAGCAGGGGGCACCGCGGCCGCAGCAACGGCACAACCGCCCGCCGGGCGCCGGCCCCGCAGCGAGCGGGGTCCGCAACGGCACTGCCGGGCGGGCCCCCGAAGGCCCCGAGAGCAGGGACGCCCGGGCTCTGCCCGCCCCGGTCACAGCACACCCCCCACCAGCCGGGGGCGCGAGCAGCCAGGCGCCGCCGGAGGAACGAACACGCAGGAGGCGGGACGCGCACGCGAGGCCGCCGCTCAGCCCTACGAAGGAACTCTGGCACCTGCTGCGGGGGCGACCCTGGAGGGCACGACACTAAGTGGCACGAGCCAGTCAGACAGGGACACGCGCGCTCTCTGCCACCGAAGGGAGGTCCCTCGAGCAGCCGGGAGACAGGGCGCAGACCGGGGGCTGGCGGGAAACGCGGGCGCCCCGCGGGCAGGGTCCCGGGAGCGCCAAGGGAGGCGCTCGGGCAGCGGCAGCCACCGGCCGCACGGCTGGGGGGCCCCTGAACACGTGGGCCTGCCCCTCAGACATGGCTGCGTGGAACCTACCACATGGTGCGTTTTGCCACAAAATTCTAAATGCTGTGAAAAAAATCAACATAGTAATTTCACCCTTAAATTTTTCTTAGGGTGAAGTGACTGTAGCTGATTTCCTCAGGATCGCCTCAGAAACACTTAAAAGCGTTTAAAACACTTTAAAAGTTGAATTTGTCCGTTTAGGAAAATCACTTCCGTGAGACCACATTTAAAAAACCATAATGAACCCAGAAAACCGTGTCAGCTCTGTCACCCCAGCCAACATTCCCTAATGCTCTTTCTAAGAGAAAACTATGGAGACAGAACACAAAGGCGATTCTGACCCACCATGTGATGTCCTGTCGGTCCCTAAATAAAACCATGCTCCTCAACCCTGCTCCCCTCCAACACGCTCTGTTTTGACCCGCTGCTCGGAGGAAAGGGCAGTCCCGGGGGGACGGTGGCTCCCGCCGCCTCACCTGCTCACTGATGACCTGGAACTCCCTCATCTCGTCCTCGGTCAGGGGGGCGCAGGCCTCGTCGTTCTCGCTGTCCTCCTGCCAGCCCATCTCCTTCAGCAGCCTGAGGAGAGCGGACATCAGTGCGTCAGAGCCGCGCCCCGCGCGGGTCACCCCACTCTCGCTACGGGCAAGAGAACACGACCCAGGGGCACCACGTCCCCGAAGCACATAAAGAAGGGTTTGGGGTGCGCGCGGGTGTCTTTCTGGCAATGAATAAATAGGTGAGATTCAGCCCAATAAAACGTCTTAGATAAGATCCGAATGAGCGGCTCAACTGCTTTATTTCCAGCGTCAGAGGTTCTCTGGGCTGCAAAAGCCCCCCCCCCCCCGCCCCCGGCTGGAATCTCAAACCCGCTGAGCCTGCGCGATGGAAGTGAAAGCAACGCCTGCCGTTCGCCCCGACGCCGCCCGCCCTCCTGCAGTCGCTCCTCAGGGCCCCTCCTCTGACGACACGGGCTGGGCTGTCCCGCCGCCGTTCGCGTTTTGCAGTTCGCGGCCCGTGCGAGCCAGTCCTCATCCGGGGCGCGTGGTTTAACGCGAACGGGCGGCTGTGTTCTCCAGCCACGCAGGCAGCTGTTTTAAAAAGCTTCCAGCCAGGCTCCAAGGAAAATGAGTAGTAAGAGTCTCTCTCTTTTCCTTCCAGGTTTAAGGTAGCTCCACCTTGGGCACGTAGGCCGGCAGAGGCCCAGCCGCACCCCAGGCCGGGCGGGACCGCCTGGCCGGGCTGCTGCACTCGGCTCCTACCCATGTATTTTCCACTCATCTGACTATAGTTTTTTAACAATTAATTACATGTCTCCTTTGTTACTATTTACACCTCTTCATCTTTCAGCTTGAGCCTGCCACAACTTAGCTCCACTTTGTAGACGTCTGTATTTTTTTAAAGTAACTTCACGGAGTATGGGCGTTCAGAGACTCGAAATTTAACACTGTCCCCGTGTTTCACAGAGGAAGCATCCAGGTCACCTCAGTAAAGCGACTCGCACAGCTGCCGCCAGAGGAGGACAGAGACGTCTGGTGTTCGGCTCACCAGCCCCTGCCGCCTCTGCACTGTGCCGGTCACAGCCGAGCCCCAGCCCCCCGCCCCTCGGCATCTCTGAACATCTCTTTTCGCACCGTCTTCGCTCCCCGGGGACGGCAGTTCCAGCCCCGCCGCCCAATACAGCGTGGAGAAACCACCTGCATTCTCTTGCTACTACTTGTACCTGGTTTCACTGTTAAAAACTGAATCTTAACAATAATGCAGATGGAATGAAACCAATTATTTCAAATGTTGTAAGTCAGGTATTCCTACCTGTCCATTTTTCCCCTCGGTTCCCTTATTTCCAGAGACGCGTCCTGTTGCCTGTTTCTGGAACAGCTTCCAAAACAAATGCCCTTGTGGGTCTCCCCGCCCCACAATCAGGCCCACGTCGTCACGAGGCCACCTCTCGTTCCATCAAGGACGCCACGCTCCTGTCAAGAGGCCCACCCACTGCCCGGAAACAAGGCGCGTGCACCCCTTCTCCCGCAGGACGGCCCGGGGCCCTGGCCCGGAGGGCGCCGCGCCCCGAAGCGCAGGTCAGCGGCGCGGGCAGAGACACTCGGAGCCAGGCCATCGCCCGCGTGCCTGACAGGCTTACGCAGTCAGTGCTGGGTGCTGGGTACAGCACTGAGAAACATGGGCAACATCCTGTCCTCGTCGCGCTGGGATCCATGATGATATATTAGAATTAAAAATAAATTTTTAAAAAGTTATTCTACAGCAGGTAATAGCCCAGTTCCCTACTATTCTGGAATTCAACGAAGTTAGAGGAGAGCTGCCATTAAACCAAACCAGAGGTCCAGCCAATTACCTGGGCTGTACTGACCCTGGCCCCAGAGGACGTTAAGAACTTTCAGTGGAAAAACAAGCCCGTTTCATACAGCGACTCCAGAGGTAAGGGGACAACAAAAGTCCTCAAGTCCTTCATGTAGTGACGTGGAACCACGCGGGTTACTTCAGGACCACAGTGGGGGGAGGGAGGAATCACTTCTGCAAAAACACCTGCTATTAACTATGACCTCAGAGGGGAAAAACCGAAAGGTCTACTCTAGACAGGAACACATGCCAACGCTGAGACAGGCCGAGTCCCTGAAGAGTTCACTATGTAAAGGATGTTTAAGGTGACGGTAATAGAAGCAGAAAGTGCTCTCGAAAGGTCACAATGAAAAAATAAATCACATCTTGGGACAAGTGGATGGAGCCACGTAGGAAAGGATGAATCTGGAACCCCATTTTACAACACTGACAAAATAGAAAGGCTATGATAAAAAAGACAGATGTGACAACACGTGCTGGCAGAAACCCGGAGAAAAAGGCGTCTTCACATCTCGCTGGTGAGAACATCAAGCGTGCACCCCAACGAGTGCAGAGCCTGGCAGTTTCTCAACATGTGAGCACGGGTCCCAGCAGTGCCACCCCAGGTCTCTACCCGAAAGAAATACAAACACGCCCACACAGAAACACGCACACGCTCTTCTCGCAGCAGCATGCAGAGCACAGAGCATGCACACCCCGCCCCACCCCCGGCCGAGGCACAGCGGAGCCGCACCGTGCACCGCAGGCAACCGGAGGGAACCAGGCGGTGCCACAGGCTGTGACATCAGCGAACACGGAAACATCAGGCCACGTGAGAGGCCAGACGTGGAGGGAAACCAGTGCGAGATGGCATTCAGATAAACATCCAGAAAAGGCAGATCCACAGCCGCAGAGAGCAGACCGGGACCGCCCACGACAGGAGGACAGGAGAGGGAGCCACTGCCGCCGAGCGCGGGGCCTCTCCTGGGGGCGGCAGCCCAGCGCCTCTGAATGCACCGAGTCACAGACACGCACACGCAACGCGTGTGGGCTCCATGGCGTATGACCTGCACCTCAGTAGAGCTGTTAAAGAGCACGTCACAACGTCTCCACAGTACCAAGATCCTGGCAACTAAAAGTGCTCCAGGAAGCAAACAGCAGCACTCACCTGTGTTCCGCCTCGAGAGAGCTCGAAAGCACATCGCTCTGCGGGAAGGCTGAAGACCGGACGACCTGCTGGGAGACCACCGAGGCGTTGCCGTTCTCCTGTGGGGCTTCATTTTCATCAAAGTTTCGGTTGATATCCCTTTCTTGGTGAGCACTATTGCTGTTATGCAAATTAAATGAGTCGTCGTCCTGGTTTTTAGGGAGTTAAAAAAGAATGAGAGAGAGAGCACCACTGTTAAAAACTCACGGAACCTGGTCGGCATCTGGCGGAAACGCGGAACTGTAACGCCTGTGATCGCCAAGCTCCGAAGACGCCCCCGTGAGACAGCACACCGCTGGGCAGCGCAGGACAGCCACAGCCTCCTGGCTGCAGTGGCCGCATCCACGCGACCAAGGCAAAGCCCCACTGGACAAAGGGAGGCGACTTGGTTTTCCCATGTACGAACAGGACCCTTTCTGACTTTTGCTCCTGCACAGGAACCACGGAATGAGGAAAGCCAATGCAGAAAGCAGGCCGTGCAAGTGCACACAGGGCCCCTCAGCGCATCTGCCCCGGTGGCTCCGCCACACGTCCCTTCAAAGCTGGGGGTGGTGGGGGGCGGGGGTCGTGCCTGCAAGGGGCAGTCACCTTCTCGGAGCCGGCGCGGCTCTCGTCCTCATGCTCCTCTTCCACGCGGTCCCGTTTCAGCGCCTTCAGGAACTCGCTCTTCTTATCGGTGCGCGTCCGCGTCAGCTTGGTGAGGCGAGGCTGCTGAGTGAGCTTGTCCACGGGCGAAGAGGAATTGGAGCGGTTACACTGGGGAAAAAGTCAGAAGCATCGATAAACGTGCAGACAGAGCAAGAACTCATTTCAACCCCTGCCCATTTCAGCCCCTGCGACGCCGCCTCCACCTGTGCTCACAGGGCAAAACGGGCTCCAGGGTCTACTGCAAAGACGGTTTCCCTCTATCCCTCTATGTTCCATCCGCCCCACTGGATGAGTGAACAAGAGCTGTCCTAATCCAGGGACAGTTAAGGTCAGACAACTCCGTTCTAACTTAGAAGTTTAACTGCTATTCTTATAAAATAAACCCTGAACTTGTGGGAGCACTTCCATCACACACGAAAAGCAGCGTGTCCAACTGCGTCCCACACAGCCCTGCGGCTGGTGCAGTTCCAGTGACCGTGCCGATGAGGCCTCGCGTCCCTCACGCTGCAGACGCAGGGCTCATCAGGGCGGCTTCCCCAGAAGGCGGTCCTCTGGCGGGGCGGGGGCAGAGAGGGGGCCACGCCCCGATGCCATGGGGTGCGGGGTGTGCCCTGGGGACAGCGGGACACACAAGGAGCGACGCGAGGGCCACGCGCCCGAGGCCCGGCCCGCGGAGAGGAGCCGCAGCGCCGGGCGCCGCGGGCCGGCCGACAACGCGGGTCCCTCCACCAAGGCTCCAGGGGCCGGCGACGAAGGACCGGGGCGAGCGCCTCTAAGGCCCCTACGCAGCGTCCAGGGCAAGTTCACTGCCCAGGCATCTGAAACTGGTCCACTAACACGCCTCTTCCCTCCCCCGCCCCTCTGCTCCCCAAAGTGTTAACATTAATAAAATTTCCATCAACCCCAAAAGACGATGAAACAAGGCAAATCCTCAGTTTGAGTCCAGGTTCCATCGTATGCCTAGCATGACTCTATCCCAACGATTAAAACTGTAATTTTCCTAAATGGTATTATTTTGCTTACATTTTGAGATATTTAGAAAGTTTCATTAAAACTTAAGTAACTTGTTCCTACTTAACTAATCATTCAGAAGTGTTAGCAAATATAGGGAAGTACCCGAATCAAGTGTTGGGAAAGAACCACATTATCTCGTTTCGATATCGTCACACAGTGAATCTAATAAGCCCTTTGCTGTTAACGGAACTACCGTGATGACAATATGCCGCGTTCCTCAGGGATCATCGTAAAGGCCGTACCTCTTTCACTGAAGTTGTTGATGGACTAAAATTCTTGGCAGTTGATTTAAAAGCACTGAAGTTGCCAACACCGTATGTAGACTCATGGGAGAAAGACGCCCCAACTTTACTCTCTTTAGCTTGGCTTTTCCACTGTGCAGGCTGAAGAAAAACACCCAGACATTGCCGTGCGTCAGAAACACAGACTATCCGGGGGGGACAGTGTAACATAACGGTGGCTGCGGGGGGCGCACAGACACAGTTATTTTTTAATTACTCTCGATCATTCCCACGTGATTCTCTGGCCTCTTTTTCTACGAATAAAATCAAAGTGTGGTTTTCAGATAAAAACATCTGACTACACTGCTATTTTCTCAGTTTTAGAAACCTAAAGTCAGATTTCTTTTGCCTCATGTCATGAAAACACGAGTGGGAGTTTCAAAAAGCTAAACCAGGACACCAAGGAAACAGCAAATTAAAAATTAAGCAAACATATCACAGGTTCATATAACAAAACAAAAACTACAGATTTCATTCACTACTAAGACACATACATGAACACACGCGCCATTGAAATAATGACACACAACACACCAACTCCACTCAAGTCAGCACCTCACCAAATATCCCCAACAACTGAGTGTAAATTTTTAACACTTTTTTTCTGTATATAACTCAATTTACATCTACTTAAAACTTGTATTTTGAACAACTGAGAACTTACTTTTGCAGGTGGAGCAGCAGGTTTAGGGACTAGCCCTTTATAAACACTGGGACCAGCCCCGTTCTTAACTGGCTGCGAGGGAAGGTTCCCGACTCCCGGGAAGCCGGGGAGCTGGAAGCCTTTCGCACTCCCCTTCTTAATGACCAGCATCCTCGGGGCTCTAGACTTAGGGTTCGGAGGGTACTCTGCATGAACAAAGCATGTGCAAGAGTTACACACAGTTCACCTTTTAGCACGAAAGTAAAGCACCAGATGCACAGTACACTCTAAGCCTTGACCACATTTAAAAACCACCACCGCCTCCTGGGAAGCATGAACTGTACTCCTCCCTGAGAAATGCAGCCGACACAGCGCGACAAACCCTGCAAAGAGCTGCGCGATGGCAGGTGCCACAGCCGGCGTCAGCCGGGCTGCGGCCCAGAAATGCGACTGTGTCCAAACCAAGGTCAATTCAGAGTCTAACATGCTTTCAATTAATTTTTTTAATTGCAATCTTCATCCTAATGGCTCTTAAGACTGGGAATATAAAGTATATTTGTTCTCTTTTCCCTTTTAAAAAGAGAATTTTCCTAATTCCTTTTCATTCTTTTTAACCTCATTTATAGCATTACCACCAATAGGCAAGGAACTGTAGTACCTCTATTTCTACTTCAGTTGTAACTAATAAAAGAGTTCCATTTTCACAATACCAATCAATTCATTCAAATAGTTACTGACCATCGAACTACATTGAAGGCATCTGTGGGCGGCAGGGCAACCAACTCAACCCTTGCTTCTGAAGTCAGCACCAGGGATAACAGTTGCTAACTAAACGCTTTTCTCAAGACCATGGCAGATATTCAAATATGGACAATTACTCCTAGGTCTTATATGAAATCAGAGAGATGCTACAGGTGAGCATGTCCATGACCACCGCAACAGAAAACTCCGAAAGCTTCCGTCATGCCGAGTTCAGAGCACACGCAGAGCAACTCAACAGCTGAGGAAGGTCTGCAGACTAAGACTTGGAAATGCCACATGTGGCAGAAAGCAGAAGTAAAAATTCTTCAGGCAAAAATTAACACTCGACCACCAAGCAAAGGTCCTTAACTAACGTACATCCTAAATGATATACTTCAGACAGAAGGAAGACGATCCCATATACAAGGCTAAAGGTACAGGAAACAAAAGAAACAGTCGTTTTTGTGCACAAACGATCAAGGATCAAAACGAGAGGTCAGAAGAGGTGTAAATAAGCAGGCAGGCAGGCTTCCTTTAAGCCTCAATACCTTTCCTAAAATTCCGAGGACCTAGGAATTTCTGGATTCCTAGACACCGCAGAGTAAGGAACAGGCTGGCTGTTCGCTCCAGAAAGCCCCTGACGCAGAGAAAGAGGAAAGGCAAGGCCTAAGCCACCAGTCACCGGAGAACAGGCAGCAGCGTAAAAGGTGGCCCAAGAGGCACCCAACAGAGGACGCCAGGGACCAGGCGGGAGGGCGGTGGGCGCCGCTAACCCCCAGCGCACGCGGCCGGATGCCGCAGGGCAGGAGCCAAGAGCACGTGTTTCTGGACCAGGTTCACAGAACTTAATGCTGGCCCCAACCTTACTAGGTCGTCCCTCGTCTGTACAATGGAGAACGGTTCTTATCTCAGAGTCACTGCAGCATTTCCTTTAAAAAATTAGGGGAAAATATCCTGAAAAGTCACATATTATGTCTGCTATGATAGGCTTCCAATTCTATTTTAAAGGTGTCCTTTTCGGGGAATTTTAAGTTGACCCACAAGACTGTAAAACATGAGCATCTGTAACAGAAATAAGCCCAATAAAGACCAACTTATGTCCTGTGTAGCTGGCGGAGTTCACCACACAGACCTGCCCACTTAAGAACAACAAAGTATCCCTGATGGTAGCAACTCCTCGGAAGTAAAGGAAAGCGGCAGCCGCGGCAGGGGGAGCCCCACCCTGACGGGCACCGTCTGTGTCCGTCTTACTCTCCCAGCCGGGTTGGCCGATCGGAACCCTCTCCACGAGCCCCCGGCACAAGCCTTCCAAGGTCAGCGCTGAGGCCGTTGGATTTAAACAGCACCCCATGTCTCCTCCACTTTTTCCATTTACTTTGTCAACTGGAAACGATATAGTTTTTGCAAACTATATGCAAAAGACCCAACTTATTTGTTCTTTTAAAGGAAAAACTGATGTACTGATGAAAAACTTAAAATTTGAAGTAAATGACTTAGGTCAATTGCATGTGCTTATCACCTCAAGCTCCTAAGCAGGTATTTATTTCTCATTCAAATTTAAGTTCCAAACACCTCAAGGCAAACATAACTTTGGGTTTTCATACCATTGCTCCCCTTTATCCTCACAAGCAACTGTGACCTGCCAACAGCTGATTCTCAATGTCGCTCTGTCCTGTTATTGAGGCTCTCCCAAGAGCCGTGAATATAACAGTTGGTTTGATTCCTTCCACACAAAGTCAAAGGTGGAAGGGTAGTGGCTCAATTCTTCGGAAGAAAGGTGAGAATTAAAATACTGCCACATACAACACAAAGTAAACTGGCCGAGCTGAATTCCAAGGTGACGTTTTGATTTCTCATCTTCTCTTTTACTAAGCTCTCTTCATAGCTGCCATATAAAATCTTTTCTGATTTCACTCACTCACTACTTTATTCTTTGATATATCACTAGAAAAAAAATTTTTTTTGGCCTTCTAATAAATCTACTAGAACCTCCCTTGCTTACTGGATTTGGACAACATAACTAAACGCCTAGGAGACGATCAAGGTTTTCACGCGCTGGACAAAGCGCTGATGGTGCTGGGTGCCCGCCCCCGACCCCACGGGGACCACTGAGCCACCTCATCCCACACAGGAGCCGAGCTCGCGGGCACCACCGTCCCGAAGGCTAAGCAGCCCGGGAGCCACAGGCCTCAGGCAAGGGCCCGGCTCTGGCGCCGGCGCTCCCGGCCACACGGCCGCGCTGCTGGACACGGAGGTCCGACTACTGCTGGCCAGACCCGTCAACGTGCTCGCCGTTCCCGACCAAAACACAGAGTCGATGCCGGCCGGCCAGGGCCCGGGTCTGCACACGCGCACGGCCCTGACACCGGCCCGCCCCTGCCCTCAGCGTCACACTGACGGCTTTAATGCGGGAAAAGAAACAACTGTAATGTGTGAACAAAATCAAAATCACATGGCCAAGGGTAAACAGCAACTAAGTTTCGCACTAATGTGGGGAGGAAACCCAGGCACAGGAGACAATATACAAACACCCCGTTCAAAGACTCTGTACCGCAGCAATGCAAACAAATTCCTACTATGAACAACACTATTTCTAACAAATACTCTAAGACCGATGCTGTTTGAATTTCGCTGGGTTTGAGTTTTTAAATCAATATACAACTCTCTTGTTTTACAACAGTACGAGTGTTACCAAATGAGTTTCACCAACGTAAATGATGTCCGGGACAGGGGTACGGCATTTCCCCTTAACAGGGTCCCCCATGTCACTCATATGAAGGACAGGCTTCAAGAAATATACTTCTAAAACCATAACAACTTACGTGATAAACAAGCACTACTTCTCACGGGGACCAAATAAAATTTACTTCTGTCAACTTGTCTAATCAAACACCACTCATTTTCCCTTCTCAATTTTGAACATACGTTATTACCTTTTTCTTCTTTATGTAATAATTTCAATAGTTTCCATACAAGAAAGATATTGAAGAAAAAAGGAATCATTTCAATTTACCAACAGAATGTGTTTACAAAGAAATCTGACAAGAGATTATTCTCTTCTTTTAACCCTACTTATAAAGTTCCTTTAAAAGAAAGCGGGTTTCAACATGCTCTAACTCAGTCAATGAAATCACACCTGCATGTTGTAAGCTCCTATCATTGAATTCTCTAGAAAACAATCCATCTTCTAGAACTAGTCGCCAATTTGCTTTGATTTCAAAGACAAAACTCTTAAAATGGAACCTTGATGCTTTCAGGGAGTATTATCAAGTATGAGCAAAAATCCTAAGAGTTCACCAAGTAATAGAAGAATACAAATACCAGTGCTAAGATGAAACAAAATTGAGCTTCAAGTTAATTACTAAGGACTGAAGTGTCTTATTTATTATCTTACGTGCGAGGCATTAGCCTCTGCTAAGGGTGTATTGCTGACACAAAAAAAAGCCAGGAGGACTCCTGAAATCACAGAAGTCAGTTACTAATGATGTCTCTCCAACTGCATACAAATACATAATAAACACGTATCACTACTTTATTGCTTCTTCCTCACCCACCAAACAAATCAGTCACATAATTAAATTATGATAAAAGCCTCACAGACACACTGAAGTACCCCACATTTTGCCTGAGATTCCCGAGGACCCAGAAGGAAGGTTAACCGAGTCAGCACCCGTCCTGAGCACTACTAGTCCACCACCGCGGCCCTGGTGAGGGCGAAGCTACCGCGGTCCCAGATGGGAGCGGCACAGAGGTGCGCCCGGCCCGTCTGAGTTCCCAACAGAATTAAACTTACGGCACTTCTTTTAAATAGCATATTGCTTTCCCACAAGGTTATTTTTTACATTGGGATATTACGTTTAGACTCTTTCTGATCTATAAAGGGATAACTTCAGGGACAAGCCAGTTTACTTTTAATACGTAATTCATTTCCATTATTAAATTTTTACTTACCTGGAAGAAGGTAGCACTAGAAAAGTTCTACCGAAGTCTTTCCTAAATTTCTCTGTCTTCCTCAGGAACACAATAGCTATTTTAAATGTTGCAATGGGTAACACAGTATTTGGGACCCAGGGGGAAGTGAGAAAGGATAATGAAACGCAATACAATGGAAGTGTCATCGTATTCCTACGGGAAGCACTGGGACTTCCACAATTAACCAAGCCACCAGGAGCCAGCCTTTCCTACTGCAGACACCCTTCTTGGTTTACCTAAGACACAGTACAGAGCACATCTTCCTTTACCCATCTTTTCGAGCAGTACTCAAAATCCTTATCACACCAACCCTGCAACAGCACAACCAACATCCTCGTGTTAATACACTGCATTGTCAATACTTTCAAAGATGTATTTGCCTTTAAATCATTTCTAAAACTATTAAATTAACCAAGGCTCAATACCAATATAGCTACAGGAAGTTTTATATGACAAACGCTGACATTCTTGACTTTTTAGTCACTTCATTCAATTCCAATAATCCAAAGCAGCCCTCGTGTCCTCGAGTCTCGTTAACACTTTCCAGGAGACTCTATATTCTTATGCAATCAGCTGTTCCCAGAAAAACTGAATAATAAGGAAACATACCTAAGAGAGGAGCTTGGGAGATTTTTTTGGTTGGGTATGTGTGTGTCTGGGCGTGTAGGCCTGGGGAGAGTGGCAGAAATACTAATTTGCAATACAGAAAACACAATGCCATTCACATGGTTCTAACAAGTGCCTGACCACCCCCACCCCCACCCCCAAAGAACCCCTTCAATAAATCTGGAGAACAAAAGGAAACAAAAGAATTCCCCAGACTATCACCCCATAAATACAATAAGGAACAGCACAGGAAGTGGCAAAGTTTAAAATAATGCCTTTACTGCTGGACTATTATGCTGTCGTAAGCCACAATCCTTTTGTTTTGATAAGTTGTTGATTTTCAATAGAAAAAATACAACTGAACATGTGTACAAGTTTCAGAGTGAATACATCATCTTTGAATTTGGTATCACATAATTCAATTTATTTTTCAGATATCAAATCTTATTATGAATTTTTCCATTATTTTAAACTTCACTTAAATCTTTAAAAAGCTGTCTACTTTATACTGAGTGTAGTTTAATAGAAAAGGGAGTTATTACCAGAAAAACTGTCATTAAGCTTTGACAATCAAAAAGGCAAATAATTCAAACACAGACTACTTCCACAGGCAAATTTATACAATTCTGTTTAAATTCTCTCTATGTATAACCACTTTCATAGATAAAAAGATTAAATTTATCACACTATAATTAGGAGTACTTATTTTTCCAGTTAACTAAATTTTCAGCTTTGTAAAACAAAAAATTAATCTAAGTCTTTCCTTGAGATTATTGGGCTGCTCTCAAAATGACATCCATTCATTAACATTAACGTACAATCATTTTTTTTTAATTCACAGGTAAGTATCGTTAATGGTACAAACAAGTACAAAAATCAATTATTTCTATTCAAATTCTTCTATCCTCACTATCTTGTTTTAAAAGGTGACATCTTTTCTATAACTTAGCACATCAAACCATATTTAATTCTAACCTATGTATTTTTAAAAACACAGAGGTGAAACCTACAATAACATTTTAAACCCCTCAAAGATAGATAAAAAATCACTTACCCCATACGCCTGCAGCTAAAGACTTATTCTGATTCGGTTCTCTCTCATACTCAGGATTTAAAGACGGCTGAAAGGAAATTGGAATCAAAACAATACAAAAAGTGTTTAAGCTTTAAAAATTAATCTCATCATCAGAGCGAAAAACCTAACGACATAATCAACTCAGCAATTAAAGACTAATTATAATCATAAACTTAAGTTTCAGTTTAGTCTGCTAATCATTAAAACGGTTACTATCTATAATCACTCCTAGTCAGGAAAAACAAGGGAAAAGTCAAAAAAAAAAAAAAAAAGCAAGCCAACACAAGAGGACACAGTCATGCTAATCTGAGAAACAGCCTTTCTCAGCATGAGGTCAAGGGCAGAGAGGAGGAAAATCAAGCTGTCCCCCCATCCTTGCTGGCTTCCTTACTGGGCGCGTTAAGTCAGCACACTCCTCCCGGAAGCGAAGCACAGAGTCCCAGGCGAGGCGGCGACACTGGGAGGGCTGACACGACGCGGCTGCGCCCTGGACCTGTGCTCTGAAGCCAGCCTTTCGACACGTTTACCTCTAAAATCCTGCATTTCCTGTAACTGTATCAGAACTTGTCGGTACTACCTAGCAGTAGAGACCGCCATGCGGTAGGGTAGCGGGGCCTAATGTGTACTGAATAAAATGACTCCTAAGAAGAGTATTTTAATTACTACAGAAGTGAACTAACAACGTTCTGTTCACGTTATCACCGAAAGCGCCAAAGAGCAAGGGTGCACTGGCATGGCATCCCGGACGCAAGCCAACGAGGACTGAGAAGACCCTGGTGGAGGTCACACGTGCTTTTTCAAAAGCTGGCCCAGGGCGTCAGACCGTCGGCCGCACCCCGGCTGTCTGCGCTGACGCCCACCGTCTTGGAGGAGGAGCAGCAGCAGCAGCAGCAGCAGCAGCCAGGCATATGCGCCCAGCTATGTGCCCAGCCCCAGCTTTTAAGTGATTTCTACTTGAATTAACACTATGATCATTCCGGGTTTGTTCGTGTGATAAAAATCCCATGTTGTGCTAACTAGCATCTGAAAGAACAGGCTGGAGAAACGGGAAAGCACAGCGATTCCGAGGTTCCCAGGTCCCAGAGCGTAAGCATCGTCTGTGTCTCTTCCCCTCGCCACTCCCCTGCCCTAAACCCAACCTGCCCAGTTCTTCCGCTCACTTCCACCCTCCAACACATCCACCATCAAACTCCACCCCAAACCTGATCCAGCCACCTGCCCGGTCAAAGTCCTCGCTTCCTCCTGAACCAAGGCCACCGCTTCCTAAGCGGTCTCCCTGCTCTCACAGCGAGCGACTCACGTTCATGCTTCTACTGGAACCATCGTCAAAGAAACGAAAATCAACTCCCGGGACGTCACTTTCCTCCCAAAAGGCTTCCCGCTCCGTTTGAAGTTAAACTAAAATTCTTTCCATCACAGGCAACAACCCCAGCGGTTACAGCCCTTCCCCACCCCTCTAGCCGGGCCTAACCAGCCTCCGTGTCCTACTCTGGCCTGACCCTTCCCCCGCACCCGTGACAAGCGTGCTCCCGCCGTGGGGGCCCGCTCCCCAGCCTCCGCACGGCGGGCACCGTCACGCCCCAGATCACAGGGCGCGCCCCCGGGGAAGCCTCTCCTGGCTGCCCATGCCCAAGGGGCCACTCAGTTACTTCGTGTCTAAATGCTCTGCAAGTCTGTCTGCCTATAGTCTGCAAATCCGCAACAGAACAGAAACTCAGTAACAGCAGGAACCGTGCCTGTCTTTTTAACGTGTGTCTTCTGAAGGCCAAGAACAGCTAGACTCAGAGCCACGCAAACATACGTGGAATGAAAAATGAACATACACACAAAAACACATCATCAGGAATGAATCACAGGACTTCGATACATCAGAGCATACGCTGGATCAATTTTTATGTAACTCGAGAGACACAGTGTTTAGGAAGCTAGCCACACGGAGATTTACCGAAAGGAAAAAAATTAAGAAAATTTGGTTTTTAATTAGTTGGTGCTTGTTCTCAGCAGCTGAGTTGATATTCCTAATCCTACATGACCGAGGCCATCAATCAGGCTGTCTTCCCTGACCGCAAAAGACTTAGAGAAAGTAGCTGAAAGAAAGCAGAGCTATCCTGGGATGATCCAGTCCTGCGCCGGTAGGCACGATAGGCACGTGTTAGGCACGTGTTAGGGAGACGCTCTAAGTACAATGTACTGATAGAATATTCCTTGCAAAAATGTAACGTTTTTAAAGATACTATGATGCATTTGCAGATAAGCGACCAAAGTCAGCCATTATTTCTAAGGGAAATTGTTTAAAGTTCTGTAAGAAATAAAATACAAATCCATCTAAAGTTCTGAAAGACCAGACAGTGAGTGAGACTCAGGAGCAGGCAGGAGAAGGGAAGGAGGGCAGAGGGGAGGGGCAGTCACGAGCAGAAGCCTTAGACGCCGGGGCCTGACCAGCACGAGCTCTGTGGGGACCAGCGGGGCTGACAGGGTCTCACGCGGCGGCGGCGCCTGCGGGCCCACACGTGCGCCGCAGCGACGAGGGACTTACGAAATCCTCGGCCTCAAACTGCCTGCGCTCGCTCTTGTCCTCCTTCCTCGCCGGGTCGCTGTCGGGGACGCTGTTTTCGTGCAGGCCCGGGCCTTTCCCGCAGTGGAAGCCGCTGCTGCGAGAACGGGAGCCGCCCCCACCGTGGTATCCCCCCCGGTGATTTATGTTGTCGGCTCCATTTCTTCCGTGCGACCGCCATCCGTTTTTTTCTTTCCTTCCAAAGTTACCTTTTTTGATCATGGAAAAGTATCACAAATTCAAAGAAGATAGTTATGCTTAACAATTAAATTACAATCAAAACACTCTTTAAGGAACACTTAGAAAGTCCTGGAGTGCTACCCGTCCGAAGCGAGGTTACCTCCGTTCGGCCGCCCCGCGCCGGAATCGAAGCCGTCCGAGGAGTTGTGGCGGCGGCGATGCGCGTCGGAACGGCCTTCCGCCCAGGAGAGGCTCTCAGAGGGCTTCTCGAAGCTCAGTGACGACTGCAACAAGGTAGAAGCACACCGGTAAGCCTGCCTGTAGGACCCACATGTAGCTAACTTCCAAAGCTAACACTCTCTGTGGCTTAATTTATTTCTAAGAATTCTAAATCCTTAAGGGTCTGCCGTTTTCAATGTGTGTGGTGGCTGGTCCCGCGGTTGGTCTGTCGTCTTCTACCTACGGACACCGAGAGCGCCGTTCTCCAGGAGCACAGCAACGCCGGCTCACCCCGGACTTCAGAGGTGAAAGGGCGTGCGGGGAGCACGGCGCCGCTCGGTGCACTTCCCTCACAGCAAAGACCGTCTGCACCCCACCCGGCTTGGACTGGACAGCGCAAGGTTGTCTTCCATGTCAGACTGTGGCAAATAAAGGTACAGTTCTGTCCTAAGTTCTCCAGACTGATTTCAAAACTCCTCTCTCCCCGTAACAAATGTTTTAAAAACTATTTTTAAAAATTAGAAGTGTATAAATAAAACAGCTGTTTATGAAAGTTGCTGGTTTCCCCCAGTATTAACCCACTGCTCTGATAAAATCATAATCAAACTCCCAACGTTTTTACGGCCCTGACCGATCCTCTGGGCTGCACCACGCAAAGCCTTCCTGCAGGACAAAGAGCGGAGCTCCCCATCGCGGGGGAGCCCCGCATGCTCCCAGCTGGACCTCGCCCTCCCACGCTGCCCCCCCGGGACTTCTAGGCGCCAGTTCCCTGCTTTCTCAGGCCTCTGTCTCAGGCCTTGCTGTCTGCTAGGCTGTGACCAACGAAGTCCCCGGCTGTCGCGTGCTGTTTGCCAACACATGGAGCAGCAACGGGCCAGCGTGCTCCGCTTGGAGACGGGACAGAACCCCAAGCCCTGCCCAGCCCCTCCGTCCTGGCACTGCAGACGGGTGCTCGCAGAGCTGGGGCTGCTGGGGGAGGAGGCCGGGGGTCTCCTGGGCCACACGAGGACACGCGGGAGGACTCGCCGGGATCTGCAGCAACTGTCCTCATCCAGGCGGCAGGTGGCAGTAACGGTCCCTCCCTATTCAGCAGCCAATGGCAAGGGGCAGATGTGATGCAAAGTGCCCAAAGGGTGCTCTGGCTGTAACTCTCCCGGGAGTGGGAGAGGGAGGGGCGTCGCATCGTGACAAGGGGACCCCGACGAAAGGCACTGTGGCTGTGGCTGCAAAGCAAGGAGTCTCCAGAGCTGAAACGAACAGTGTCAGCAGCGAGGATCCGCACTTTGCAAAGACTGAAGACACGAGGGGTAAATCCGTGTCTTGCGACAGCCACCAGCCCCAACCACCCTGGAGACCGAGCCACTAGCACAGGCCGGTGGGCACGATGGGGAAAAGGGAGCTGCGGCCCTCACCTTAGGGGATGTTCTTAAGGCCTAGACGCTTCACGTTTGTCTGACTCCTGGGCTATTGCCTATGGCTTTGTCAGCTTGTCCGTATCTGAAAAGCCACAGACCAGCAGGTCAAAGACTCGATCTTTCTCCTGCGGGAGCCACCGCTGCCTGCCAGCACATGACTCCTGCCAGGAGCCGGTCCACGTGACACCAGGGAGCTGCCCAACCTCCCAGCACTTCTTGGCGCGATCGAAGGCGTCTGGCCCTGTTGAGACTTTTTCAAGTTACAGCGTCGCGGCTGCAGTCTGACCGGCTATCTCTGGTCACACTATTGTGACCCCTGAAATTAATCCCCATCGCGGCTTTGGCATTCCAGACCACGAGCAGTCCAACCACCATCAGGCCATCTGTGGTCAAAAAGGTCACCCACAACAGGCCGACATCCCATGCCCCCCGCCACCTGCAGGCTCCCCGGGGCGTTGAGCGTCCCAACCGTCTCCTCAGAACTCCGCTCAGCGTGCGCTCCTCTCCCCGCATGTCTCGGCAGTGAAGGCAGCGGGCAGCGAGTGCAGTGCGACCACGGAGACCGTGTCCTTGACCGCGTGCCCAACAGCAGTCGGGCGCGGGAAGGGTTCTGAGCGCCCTGACCCGCTTTAGAAACTCAGGGCTCCAGCCCGACTATACCCAGACTCAATGCGTCTTTCCTCCTCCTCAGAGTGAATGCCGGCCAGGCCAGGCCAGGGCGATGGCCTGGCAACAAGGAGCCCGAGGAACTCCAACGGCCGGGTCCGGCCTGCCTGGGAGCCCTTCTCACCGGGCCCGCCCCCACAGCGCCCCCTGGGGGCCAGGGCGCGGCACAGCGGCTCTCCGCACACTGTGCGAAAGGGGCCGGCCCCGCCCACGTCCAACTCCTCTGGGTATAAAAACCTGGGAGCGAGGGGTTTTTTCCCCCCCGAAGTGACTCTGAGCTGCTGGAGTGGGACACAGATCACGCGGCTGCAGAGGGGGAGTGCAAACGCCCGCGGCCCGGGGCGGGGGGGCGCCTGCGGCCCCAGGAGGCATGAGGAGGAGGAGGAGGACAGCGAAAGCGCCCCCACCCCCTGCCCCCGCCCGCCCGCCTCGCGCGCCTCCAGCCGCAGCCGGCGCGCTGACCCAGGGGCCGGGCCGGCCACTCCTCCGCTGCCCCCGCCAAGAGCAGCCCTGGGCCGCGGGCATAATAGAAACACTCACCCCCACACAGCTGTGTTTCGTTCTGCCAGGTAAAAACGCAAAGAGTTCTCCCAACACTCGTGTGGCCATATGGCGGCGATTTTCAACCGGCGCAGCGAGTGCTAAAACACGCAGCGCCTGACCACTGGTCAGGGGCGCTGACCTCTGTTCCCTTAGACAGTCAAATAAAAAATGACAACAGACAACACAGCAACTGTCCTGAAAGAATCAAACTCCACATGTATTTTTTGTTGGATAGGCCCAAGATGTATTTCTTGGGGTGCCGCAGAATTGTAGTCATTAGCTTGTATGTGCTATGAGATGAAAAGGCTGAAAATCGCCGCCTCGGCTAGGACGCCTCAACTGGGGAGACCGTCAGGGTCTCTTAAGCAAACTGACGTAAGAGTGACCCAAATCAAGTGTGACAATAAATGCCAAACTGAAGTGATCTGCGCCCCTTTCAGCTAGTATGCCTGTGAGGAGGGAGAAGCTGGCCACAGAATGTCTGTCACTGAGGATGAGAGCTGCCTTCTGGCCCACCTACGGCCCCTATAATTACAGGTAATAATACCAAAAATTCAGGTCAGCTGACACTCCCTCGAGTGGTTAATGAACACTGGACTGACCCTAGATCATACACTGAGGGCGAAAAAAATCATCTGCTGGTCCCCCTGAAACTTGGGAATGGCCTCAGCCTACTGCTTGGGTTTCTGATTAAGTGAACACTATTAAGACAAATTAAGTGAGTCTGTTTCTAGCCTCTGTTAGCTTAATCAGAGTGACTGGAAGAGTGGTACAGTCATGTGAAAATACAATTTGGCCAAGAACATGCAGGGCTAATGAGCAGATTGTTGAGACAGGCAATCTGAACATTTCTTAATGGTGTGCAAAGAACGCAAGACCCTGATGGCTTCTGTGTGGCCCATTTCTAAGGGTTAGGTTTGCAGCGAGCGGCATTAAGAAATAGGTCGCGTCCTTCTCTGGGACAAAGAGTGGGCTGATGACAAACCCGGGGGACTCACCACGCAGTGCGAGGGCAGCGTCCGCCCGGACACTCCGCGCACAGCTCCTGCAGGTCTGGGGGCACAAGGGGCCAGTGCCGGCAGCAGGCTCTTTGTCTCCGGCCCCAGAGGCTCGGGCTTCCCACCAGCACCCGCGGCCGCAGGAGGGCGAGTCCCAGACCCTCACCGACTGACACAGAGCCCGCACGTCAAAACAGGAATACTGCCAGGACGGGACTGAAAAGGGAGGTAAAACACTGACAGCATTTTTGAACAAATGTTCGTCCATTTAAAAAGATCCCAAAGACATTACAGATTAAGAATTAATCAAGGTTGCTACATACAACACTAACGAGGAATCTGCAGCAAGGACTTAGGAAGCTTTTAATAACAGCAACAAGCAGATACTTGGATATGCCCAGCCAGATGCATGAAGACCAAACAAAAACCAAAACCTATGTGACTTCATTTAAAGACATTAAAAATGACATATATACACACACATATGTGTACATAGGCATGCATTTCTTAAACCGGTATCAAAAAAAAAGCAGCCCAAAATAACAAAGAATGTGAACAGGCAACTCACAGAAATGTAACCCAACGTCCAAGAACAGTGCGGGTGCATTCTGTAACTAAGACTGGCAAAAACATTAACTCTGACAACCTGAAAAAATTTCAGCAACAGTGCAAACAGCACCACCTAGCACACAGGCGTGTGACTCAGCACACCAGCGGAAGAGAAGCCGGCCACGTCCAGTGGAGCCCAGCAGTTCTCCTCGGCCAGGCCCGGCCAGCTGCAGTCAGGGCCGCGGGCCGGCAGAGCCGGCGTGTCTCTGAGGACTGTCAGGGGGAGGGCCCTGCGCTGCGGCCTGCCGTCAGCAGAGCCTGCGTGCGGTTCAACAAAAGCCCCAGGTTATCTCATTATATATTCAGGGAGTACTGGCCCAGAAAAGTCTTGCCCATGTGCACAAGCAGATATTACAAGAATATTCGATGCGGTACTCTGTACAGTAGCCAAAAGTTATAAACAATCTGGACAAATGGAATGTGGTACAGAAGCACACGGTAGAGAATACTATACAGAGCTTCATATAATTACACTGAATCTGCAGATATCAACATGAAAAAACCTCAAAGACAGAATGAATGTAAAAGCAAGATGCAGACGTGTAAACGATAATCATTTATATAAATGTCTTAAACATGCCGTAGAGCAGTATTTATTGACAGTCCCATATGTAATAATAATGGGAGAACAGGCACTGAGACTACCTCGGGGAGGGGGCGGGGGAAGCCACAAAGAAAAGGGCTACAGAGAAGCAAACAGTGGGCTTCGACTCTACACGTGATGTTTTATTTCTGAGAGAGAACACTAACATGCCAAAGCAGCAAGATGTGCTATTGTGCGTGGTTAGTAAGTGTTCATTCAATATTCTCTACACTTCTCCCTAGAAAATATGCACAATGTTAATGGCAAACAAATTCCTCAATATAAAAAGAGCTATTATGAATCACTAAGAAATTGATTATATGAACAAGCAGTTCTTAGACAGTGCTCCTAACAAAAAAATATGTTCAATAAACTACCATTTTTCATTCAATTTCACAAAAATTAAAAAATATGAAAACATCCAATATTGCCAAAGGGGGGGGGTACCCTGATAGTTTGATGGGATTATAAATTGGTGCATCTACCAAATCTTCCTGCAGCTAAATCCACAAGGCAGCGGCTAATGAAATCATCCACGCAGACCCTCTCCACAGAAGACACCCCCCCAGCCACCGGATGAGCCGGATCCCCGCATACTGACTACGCCGAAGCGCTGGAGATGCCAACCTCAAGGGGAAAGAAAGCAATGTCATTTGTTTACTCAAACCAGGATAAAAACACACCCTGGGACATGCGTAAAAGCATCCTGGTACTTCACTTCTGAAAATCCGTCTCTTACCTAATAATCAGGAAAAGGAAGCTGTTATACTGACACACTCTAATGTCAGGAACACGGGGACTCCTACCCCAGTTCAAGCCCTTTGGAACAGACGGCTCATCTCTCCCAACCTCAGTTCCCTCATCTGTAAGTGAGGAAAAACCCCGAGTATCCATCCCTTGGGGTTCTCGTGAGCCTTCGCATCACACGTTTTACAGAGTGGCTGGCATGCGGTGATGCCTCGAGAAAGATTAGACATTACAACAAGCAAGGAGGACACCACCTCTACCCTTTTCTTTTCCCTCTTACACGTTTTAATTCCTTTTCTGGACCCCTTAGAGTATCTGAATCAGTTAACAAAAAACTCCAGTAAACAGCCAGTTGGAACACACCAGGCTACCCGTCGGACTGAGTTTTCCAGTCCTCCACCGGCCTGAAGTTTAAACAGCACACGTTCCCGACTCAGGCTGACCCTGCTTTCACTACTGAAAAATACAGTATCCGGAGCCACCGTTAAGGCGTCACCACAGAAGAATCAGGAAAGCACTGCCACACTTCAGCCAGGGAAACGACGTCACAACAGCGGATACCAATGCGCCAATGTGCCGACTGCAGCGGAATCTCGCGGTTCTGTTACTTTTGTTTAAAACCCTCCCCCAATGTCCTCCGCTTCTCCGCCTCCCAGCTACTCCTCGGGCCGCACCCTGGGCACGTTCCCGCCTCAACCACGCCCCACAGGGCAAGGGCGCCTCGGCCCGCCAGGCGCCCCGCTCCACACCCCCGCTACTCCCTGCGGCAGGCGACGGGAAGGGGGCACCTGCCTGCACAAGGCTCGTCTGAAACGCTGTCCACCTTTTTCAGCATCTACACCCATATCTGTTCAGTATTTCTTCAGTAATAAAAATGCTACTTTTCAAGCGGTACATCAGAACCTATTAAAGGATGATGAACTCAGTAACAATTTGCATTTTTAATGGAATAAAAAAGAACAAAAGACCACAAGGGAAAATATTAGTGCACCACAGTTATGTGTCTTTTAGTTTTATCTGTGTGCAAACGAAAACACTGCATGAAATGTATTTCTTCTGGGTCCACAGCGAGCATTTATTTCAGCGGCCGACGCAATTCCCTGCGCCAGACGTTATCAGTGCAGTTCAAAATCTCACCACATGATGGGGCTCACATCCCACAAAACTAAGAACTGCTGCCCTACAGCCAGTTCTGAAAATACTTTGACCCTTAACTGAAGTCCTCGTGATCATCCCTTCAAACAAATAAGTGACTTTCATTCAAGTTGAAATAAAGAACTCAACAGTAATTACCATTTCTCCCACTTAGTGTAAAAGTTAAAAGGGCTCGGACAGAAAACAAGAGATTAATTGAAAGAGAGAATCCATGAACAATGATTTTGAAATGAAAAGATAAAGACAAGGTACAGTAAGTCATGTAAAGTAAGCTTTTAAAAAGCCATACTAGTCGGTATGTCTGCGTTTCTCGAAACTACTTTGACCCTGACTGGTGTGCTCAGCTGGGCACCGCCCTGCAAAGCACAAGGCCGCCAGTTCAATTCCCGGCTGGGGCACGTGCCCAGGCTGCAGGTTTGCTCCTGGTCCAGGTAACTGACTGAGGTTTCTCTCTTGCATGGATGTTCTTCCTCCTCTTTTTCTCCCTCCCTCCATCTCATTTTCTGAAGACAATTTAAAATGAACAACGAGTGAGAATTCAGGATAAGCAGGCCCAATTCTCACCATCACCGTCCCTGTGCGTGAGGGCCCGCACGCAGGCTCAGAGCGAGGCAGCTAGGTGGCAGGAAGGGCTCACCTAGCGGAACGAGAAAGTCATTCTTTGTCAACCTCAGATTAACATGTGAGTGAGTAATTATTCTCAAAGTCTGCAATGTTTTGCAACTAACTTTCCAGATGCTGGTAATTTTTACTGATCTGCTTAAAAATGAAAACAAGTCACACTTATTTCAGAGAAAAGGGAAATAAGGGGGAACAGGAAATTCATGTGTATCCAAGCTCTGAAGTAAGCCTGGAAAAAACAAAAATGAACCCAGTCAAAAGACAGATGAGCACAGCTGAGGGGAGAAAATTAAAAAGGAAATTCCCGAAACCAACACATACGAGGAGAAGGGCAATCAGAGCGCCTGTAACTAAGAAGGGATCTCAGTGGCCTAGTCACTAGAAGTCTCCATTCCCTAACAGTTTCAAATCTGGTTTCACAGTATAGGAAACGAGCCCTTTCACCATTTTACCGAGTGCCAAAAAGGAGTCCTGTGGGAAGAGGACAGAACAGGAAACTACCCTGGATTCTAATCTAGGCTCACACTCATTACGGGACAACAGGCAAGTCAATGAACCTTCCAGAGACTCCATCTGTATTGAAAAAGGTCAGATGATACGACCAATAAGATCAATCTTCAAACATTAAATTCTATTGCTAGGAATTCTGTCACTACAGTGCAGCCTTTCCACGTATTATGGGCCAAATTTATGATGATCTAACAAGTCCTTATGTGGTTACAACTCCCCCAATTCTGAAATGACGCCCAGCTGCTGCTTGCAACGCTGTGGGGAGCACGGCCTGCGCTGGCAGAGCTTCGTGAACAGGCAGGCGACGGTCGGGACCCTCTCCTGACCCCCCCGCGTCAGCGTCACGGAAGAAGTGGCAGACAGCTCTCACGCCAGGTCGACTGACTCTATCCAATTCCAAACTCCCTCCTACAAACTACTGTTGTGGCATTTTAGTAAAATACGAACCAGTCTTAGAGTAATGAGCCCTGATATGTAACAACTGTTGCAAAGTCCTCATCACTCCTGAAGTTTTAGTAATGTGCCATTCAAAGTCTCATTGATTATATAAGAAAGAAGTCTCCCAGTTATGTGGAAAGACTTCAAAATCCTCCACTTTAAAAACTAAAAGTTACAGAAAAGTAAGGCAAATTATCTGAAAAATAACAGAGAAAAAGGCAGGATGCAACAGTCATTCAGTATGGCTTGAAATAGTGCGTGGAACTTTGATTTGTACAAAACACAACCTTGAAGTAACTGGTTTCATATGTTGGTCATATATTAAAAACTGACTTTTTAAAGAATAAAAACCCATAGATTAAACATACACTAACTTAGATAGTAACACACACAGTGTTTCTCCGCAGAAATACCGCGCCTTCACATGGACTCGGCTTGCGCAGAGCGCGCAGCGGAGAGGCAGCAGGAAGACAGGAGAGGAGAGACAGTGCGAGCGAGGAGGGTACCTTGGCTGGCGGCGGCGGGGTGGGGAAACTAAGCCAGGCCGGAGCAAAGTCATGCTGCGCCATTTAGGTCCAGTCTCGCCGGCTCAGGGAAGCAAGGCTTCAACACCTCATGGCCAGTCCCTGTCGTGAAAACGGAAGGAATTAGACCTGCGGCTCCTGACCCCGATCGTTTTCTCATTCCATAGCTCCTTCAAATTACACCCATCTTACTGCTTTAACATGCCATTTATAATGAAACTCTAGAAAAGGCAAAAATAAACGGATGGAAACTAGACCAGTGGAGTGGGTGTAGGGCCCGTGGGGGTGGGGGTGACTGCAAAGGGCAGGAGGGGGCTGTTATCTGGGCTTGTGGTGACGGTCACATAAATGGACACATTTGTCAGAACTCATCAAACTGCACACTTAAAACTGGTTAATTTGATTATAAAAAGTGCATCTCAATAAAGCTTCTCTGTAACATGAGTGGAAGACGGCCGTCCCCGAACTGGACGTCAGGTGCCCCCGGTGCCCCAGGAGGCCACCCGGGAGCCCCCCTCAGGGTGAGCCCCACTTAGGAGGCCTTCTTCCCCACCTGCAGGGATGTGCAACCTGACCCGACTACCACCCATCTGCAGGAAATTCGGCCTAGGGAAACCGAGTCAGAGAACATTCTTAGGGAAGTAATCCAACAAATCCAGATCACAGGCTGTTCCTGCAGGTAAAATGATCCGGTGTCTTCAACAAATAAACGGTTTCCGTAAGCAGAGCAATCAAATACAGAGTGTGGGCCTTACACAGATCCTTCCTCCAACCAACCGTTTAAAATGAAAATGATGACACAGTCAAAAACTTGAGTATGACCTGAGTATGAAATGGCATTCAGAAATTATTAATCATCTCAGACGCCAAAACGGTTAGCGCGATGATGGCATGTAAACGGAAGACACACACAGCATCTTTGCAATTCACACGGACGCGAGAACCCGCTTCAAAATAAACCGCGCAGTGCTGACCGCACTCACTCTGAAACAAGGCCGCCCCACGTTCAGAAAGGCTGGCTCAGGCAGCTGTGCCGATGCTCTTCCCTCTGCTCACAGGGATGGTCGCAAATTCCCACAGTTAAAATCTGTTTTTATTGCGATCATCACTGTCACTTATCGTAACCACAGGGGGGCACAAAAGCAGGTTTACAGTTCTGAGCATGTGAAACACGACTTTATTCTTCTCCTGTTATTTCTTATTGCATTATTTTCCACACAAACAACTGTAAACCCACTTCTGCCCCACCCTGAGCTTCAGCAGCTACTTCTCTTCCACGTTCTAAAGCCAGTTTCCACCCTGGCTGGGGCGGCTCCGTGGACGGAGCGCCGCCCTGCCCACCACAGGGTCGCTGGTTCGGTTCCCCGTCCAGGCACAGGCCTGGGCTGCAGGCCAGGTCCCCGGGGGGGGGGGGGGCACTCGAAAGGCAGTCACACATGGACGTTTCTCTCCCTCTCTTTCTCCATCCCTCTCTCTAAAAATAAATAAATATTAAAACAATAAATAAATTTAAGTTTCTAGGAGCCTCTCTCAGCTGCATCAATAACACTTGCAAGTTGCCAGCCCAACCTAAACACAGCAAATTCACTTTTTTTAAATAAGGCCAAAGCCAAGTGGGCAACTGTACTCATTTCAATACACAGCTCAGACTATTAGTCAATGAAGAACTCAAATTTCCTGAACATCAAAACACCCAAGTTTAGTAATATGTTTTGTACTTACAAATATCAAAAGTGAAAAAATTTAAAAAGAAAATGATCAATACCACTGTTAACCTTCCTTTTCCAAAGTCTTCTTTCAAATATAAGTGCTATGTTTTAAAATCATTTATCAATTTCCTAAAATACTTTTTAAAAGATTCTCAGGGTATTACAGAAATAATTCTACTTCAACTATCCCAAACTGTGCTAGGTTCTATTAAAAGGCAAGTTAAGAGTGGCCAGATACAGAAAATCAGATATAACTAGTTAACTCACTATGGTAAATGCTTAAATCCTAAACACTTATGAGAACCAGGAATAGAAAATTATTGACACAATTCGAAAAACCTGAATTCCAGAAACACACTTACGAAATAAAATGTAAGAGCCTAAGAGTGTGCCTAATCAAAAAGAACTATATCAAAAAATCAGGAATTCTAATTCTACTACTATCTTATGTTACTTTTTAAAGTCTTCTAAAATAAAAAGGAAATCTAAAATGTTTTAGGATATATGAAAGATTTTTATTATCTATTTTGACGTAAGGCTAAATACTAAACTGCTTTCTAATGTTTGTGTTGGACTGTTAACTTTCCCAACAACTTTTTGTTGAAACTCATAAATAAAAGTATAGCTCTAATAACTCAACATGAACGAAAAGTTATAACCTCTACCAAATGAAAATTCAGAGGAAACTCTTAGAGAACTTAAATTAACCAATAATTTAAAGCTTATGATTTTAAACAGTCTTATCCAAAATGACGGTTAAGTGAGAAGTTATAAACTGAAAACTATCACTGAGACAACCATTAACATCAACCTATCCATTTGTGCGTTACTATGAATTTCAATTTAAATCTAGTTATTAAAGAATAAAGTATCAACAGCTAATGGCAGAAGTGTTCATATTCTGAAAAAGGTAAAGAACAAATACTAATAGACATTATAGCATTTACGCAAGTGTGATGAGATCAGGATGTGCCACCCCAAAACATGCCACTTTGACGTAAGAACGGGTCTGAAGGCGTCTAAGTTCCCCCAAAAATCCCGTATCTACCTAACAGCAGGGCCTCCAGAAACAATGTATCCATCCCATAACCTAAGTGTCTCTTCTGGGAGACCCAAAACAAAAGACAAAAAAACCCCAAAACAAAACAAACAAAAAACCCCAGCATATCTCCAAGACACTGCCACAAACTATCCTTTCTCTCATCAATACTCCTAAGGGTCCATTTATCTATCTTTTCAAAAAGTCATCTGCTTTTCCGTTCAGTTCCCGTTTCCCTTCCGCCCTGTCTGCTGTGAAGGGATCCGAAATTCTAACCGCCTCTCTGACTCACTCATCTCTGGATCCTCCCAAGCGGGAGCACACGCTCGTATCGAACGTCTCCGCTTTCCTTGCTGTCTGTCTCGTGTCAGGCGAGTCCACAGTGGCCCAGCCAGGGAACCTAGGAGGGCACCAGGAAACAGGACTCTCACTCCCCTGCACACGTAGAGGCAACTGCGTTCCAAAAGCCCCACCCAGTTCATTTTAACTGGGCTCTCGTGCCACCTGATTCCATTCCATCTTCCTTTCCCTGTATAAATGCTACGGGTTGAATTGCGTCCCAACCCCTCCAAATTCATACGGTGAAGCTAGAACCCCTTATTGTGAGAACGTCACCGTATTCGGAGGGAAGATCTCTGCAGAAATGATTAAACTTCAAGGACGCAACGAGGGGCCGTCCCGTCCCCCTCCTGCCCTTCGAGGAGGACGCGTGGAACGCGGAGGCAGCGGCACGCAGCAGAGCGCCGAGACAGGGCAGCGCGAAGAGGCAGCACGGAGGGGCCGTCCGCACGCGCAGGAACGCAGCCCCCGCTCTGAGCTACAGCTTCAGGCTAGCCTCCGGGCCTGAGGGGGTCCCTGTGCAAGCCACTTGGTTTGTGCTCTTTTGTTGTAGCAGCCCTCGCGAACTAAAATAGCAGTTAGAAATACACTAATTAAAAATGTCTCTATTTGCTTTACACATATATCAATCAGCAATGAACAACAAAAGGGGGGCTGCAAACCAGCTGTCCTCCTCACACAGCCCAGGGATTCACGTTTGTCGGCAACGTTCTACTGGATTCTGCCAGGTCTAAAGGCCCCATGCGGACACAAACAGTTACGATTTCTCCCAATTTCTCATCTTTCACCCAATTTACAACTTGTTCATGAACTCCTTTCTGAAGTCTAAATCATCTGCAATAAAAATTCTCCAGGGAAAGCTGGTTCTTTAAAAACCCTCATCTAAATTCTATGCCCTTCTCAGTGGACATGCCTGACTCGAAGCAAGCCACCACCACCACAGATCACTGATTAAGTCCGAAACACAGCGCTTCGAATTGCAAAACAATACTCTGGCCAAAAGTACAAAAACAGACAAGATTTTTTTGTATTTCTTGTAATACTTTACTTCTAAAGTCACCAAATTTATGCCAAATGCTTTCAATAAAAAACTTACTCAACTTGATCTCATCGGAATGAACACCAAAACTTACTATCGCATTAATGGTTCGTATTTCAGATAACTTAAGCTTTAAAAATCAAAGCCCTTCAAAAACCACCCGGATCAACCAAAGCTAAGGCATTCCACGAGAGGCAGAGCACAGACGTTTTGTGAGAGAAGATGGCTTCCAAGTCCAACAGTCCTAAATCCAGATCAGCTCAGCCAGGCATCAGGCTGGACTGACCCTCATTGGCAAGTTTACATCCTAGTCTGTTCCCCCTCTTCGTTAAAATTGAGATGACAACTACTCACCTTCAAGATGCACCCTGAACACTGGTAAAGCTACGAAAAACTACCACCCTTGCCCTGGCCAAGAGGCTCAGTTAGTTGGAGCATCATTCTGTGCACCCAGAGGTGGCTGGCTCAATCCCCAGTGAAGGTGCACACAGAAGGTAACCGCTCAAGGTTTCTCCACCTCCTCCCCAAAATCAATACATGTATCCTGGGGTGGAGACTGGAAGAAAGAAAAAAAAAAAAAAGACAATTACCCTTTACTACCAGACTATCAACATTCAAATCCTTGAAATAAGGTTAGGTTTTTCAAACATTTAGTCAAACCATTAACATTCTTTCATTAAGGCAAGACGCAGAACACAACTACTCAAATTCATCCCTGGTGTTCTTTATAGTAACCCTCAGAAATATTTTAGTATAAGCTTAGTTTAACACATTAATAGGTTTCATTTAGAAAGCGGGTCCTCCTTACTCAACTCGGGTCTCAGCCATTACAGGGGCCCAGACCAGGTGTCAGGGCCAGAGCAGGGACGAGGGGGCACCAGCGCACGCAAGTGCCACGGGATGCCAGCTTCAAAGCAGCTGAGACAGGACAGCAGCAGAGGGACAGCCAGGGACGGGCACTGGGCCCAAAGGAAGG